GAATACACATTCCAATCCCCTTGCCCAAAACCGGGTTGCAACTCCTTACAACCCAGGGTATCTACTAGGAATGACCAGGGTGCAGCCTATCGTGACATTGCTGTGCGTTGGCAAGGCTCGTCGGCTTCGTGACATCGACCACTCGGAGGGTTGGGGCTATGTGCGATGACGCCACGTCTGGACTTTTGTGCTTCACCGCCATCATGACATGGGTTACACCACCATGGCTTTCTACGCGCACTCGTACGCATTTCATGGAGGAATGTGATTAGAATTTGAGCGTCCAGCTGCATGCGCATGGACCGGGTATCTTATGCATCCTACTACTCCGGAATAACCCAACGCCAGACCGACAAAGAAGAGAATGAGATGGAGATCATTCAGTCATCGTGGGCCGCTCGACTACACTTGATCAGCAGCTACCGATGCAGGGCTGCGTATTTCCCCTGCTGGTCTGCCAGCGCTGTCTGTTACTTCGACCATGTCCTCTACCATTCCCAGGAACCTCTGTCTATATTCATCGCTCGTCGTCGTAATGCTCATCGGGCCATGATCTTTTCCAAACTTTAACGTGTTGAAGAGCTTGACGAGTCCCGTCATCGTCTGGGCCTGGAGTGCGTCTTTTGCCCAGAAGAAGTCGAGCACGATAGCCCGGTAAACCCACTTGCCGTCGCGCGATACGACACCTGTGCGCCATGTAGATCCTCGGCCAGGGGGCGGCGGCACGTCACCCGAGTTCAGGTCGGCGGGATAGCGGACGAGGAATAGCGAGTAGTCAACCGCGTTATTGGCTTGTAATATCTTAGAATCCCTGGATAGCTGCGCAACAAGCTCCTCTTTCTGATCGATAGTCACTCGAATCTTATCTTCAAACTCGTCAATGAGGCGCTCCTTGACGCTGTCAGGCGCCAGGCGCCCGTTAGCCACGTCACGTTCTGGGTAGAAGTAGTCATTGGGCTTGAGGTCATATGTCTCCCATCGCTTCTGTTGGGCCTTGCTGCAGCTCGACTTCCCGTACAGAATGTTCTCCATTATAATGTGATGGCTCGGAGCGGTGCCTACAGCGGCTCCGACGGTCGCTGTGGGACAGTAGAGGAGGTCGGTTATGCGGACGAGGAGGGAGTCCTCGTTCAGCTCCATGTGTTCGACATATGGCTCGAGAAGGCGATCACGGAAGAAGGATTGCTCAAACTTTCGCGGCAGGGACTTGATCAGGTACTTGGAATTAGGTGTCGTAAAGAATGTCTGATGCGCATTAGCTAGTCGTCTTCAGATGCCATGTTCCGCGCGTACCGAGCCTGAGTAGCCCAGGTCCCCAATGGCGATCAGATCGGTCCGTTTGCTCTTGCTTGGGCGGAAGCTCTCGATGTATCCTTCCTCTTCAATCTCCCACGTGTCGTTCCTCAGTTTCTTGAACAGAGATGCGCGATAACGAGCGAGAGCCAGACTGAAGACAGCGAAGAAGGCATAGATACGCGCAAACAGACCCAGGCGCGCGCTCTCATCCTTGCGAGGCGAGTCCGATCTGAAGATGGCGCGTAATATAGATGCGCTGATGAGACGGTCTCGACGTCCCATGTTGAATTTTAGTTTTGTCGCGGTTGTTGTTGGTAGAGTACACAGAAGGCAGCGTTGCGGACGCGTGAAGCGCTACATTCTCGAGGCCCGTGAATGTCAGGATGATGTCATTGCGCTAACGATGAGCCTCCTCAAGGCGTGTATTGCCTGCGCCATCACATCTTCACCAGCGCGCCAAATTCCATCAACGCATCTGTTGAGCAGCTCACACGAAGATTCGGAGTTCTCCCCAGTGCCCCAATGTGGATGAGCAATTTCGAGGGTCGGCTAGACCTGACGAGACGGCTGGCGGGCTTCTCTCTCGCTGCAGCTAACGTTTAGCACCCAGCATAACCGCCACAAAAGCGCCACAGTTTGATTTCATCCGCCGCGTTCGAGGGCGTCTAGGAAGGCTTTTGCCGATACGCTCTCAACCATCTTGTCTGACACGAGAGAAACTCTGTGTACCTCGTGCGCGTGTTACAGGTAGTATTTCCCGGTATCTGGTACGTTCAACGAGACCTAATTCGTGTCTTGGAGCCGTCACCAGCAACCTTGCAAGAGGCACTACAATGAGAAGATCAGCTCTGTACCAAAGTTTGCAATTATCCTGAGACGCAACAAGCCGTACGGAGCATGACTAGCCTTACCTCGGGATCTCCGCGTGTTCGGCCTACACGACTGTCAGGGAATGTGCTGGTTGTACACGGGTAGTGGATGGAGCGCGAATACTGCTGCGAAATCTGCTCATGGCATTTTCCCAAATCTAGATTTGATGCTCCTTCTCGCCAACACGATTGCTTCAACCTCTCCACCTTGGCCGCCTTGCTTACTTGGCAATATCACTGCATCTCGGAACCAGAGTCTCGAACGCGGATCTGGATAACTTCAAACAAGCGAGCTATATATTGCCTCCTCGGAGTTACGGAGTACGCCCCAAGCGATCTCCCGCTCGGCACGTCTTCCGCTGTTTCACCCTGGGCCCTTATGTGATCGCGCTAAGCGTGCCGCTATAGCGCTGCAACGGCGAGGAGCAGCGCGATGGCAAATGCGTTGTTGCGACCTCAAAGAGAAGAAAATATATTGGACAGGAATGCTGTAAGAGCCTCGAGACGGAGTCTCCGCTGGGTAACAGTCTCACAAAGCTAACGGCCTGTGCAACCTGAGTTCAGAGGAATATAACGTGAATTCCGACATGGTACAACCTGACCATGTATGCATCTAGGCGTACTCGTCTAACGGACTAGACCCCTAGGCCCAGGCAGTTCTTGCCCCGTCTCGTCCCGGCTATCAGTTTGACGGCTGGCACCCCACATCACTTTGCCTCTCCAGTCTGCTTCACGGTGGGAAAGTTCGCCCAGGCGCTTCAGCATCCCCTTGCGGAGGTTTCTACCCTTTCCGCCCGCAAACTACTGGATAGAGGCTGTGTATCACGGCTGCAGGGTCATCAAGCCATTGTTGACTGGCGTCGACTGGTGTGGGTATTACCCTGCTTACAGACTACACCGAACATATAAAGCATGGGCGTCTTTCCTCGGGTTGACAGCATATCTGTACCACTCCAAAACTCATAGCACTTTGCCACATCAGGTTGATACCAGGCACAGTCGCGCGTACTCAGTACTAGTCTTCCCAATTTTGTACATTCTTTTCATCCAAGTTACTCCATCACATACCTACTATCCACAATGGCGAGCGCAGACGTTCAGCAACCACCTGCACAGGAAGCTGCACCCGCACTACCTGACTACCTCACCAACCCTGATGCTGTTCTGGGGGACAATGATGCCAAATGGCGTTACGGCAGAGCGCCTGATTATTCAAAAACCAGAAAGGTGTTCTCAGAGAGTAAGTTACCAGATGCGGCAACGAGCCTGCATGTCAGACACAACGCAGTTTACTAATCATGCACAGCAAAGCAAATGACACACGAAGCCGGGTCTCTTCCTGAGCTCGTCCAGAATCTCGTCAAGAATTGGGAGGTCGAAGCGTCCTTCAAGCCCAACATTGATGACTGGCGTACGATCGATCGGAAAAACTACTCATTCGCTATCAATGGCGGCAAGGCTGAAGGCGCAGAGGCTATGCTCAAGGTCGGCACATACAATGCTATCATTGCGCCGAACGAATACTACTCGCCCGACTACTCCGACTTCGCTTCGTCACACAAGACGTTCAAGCGAATGATGCCTACCTTTGCATGGGAGGTACTAGAAGTCTACAGCGGCCCACCAACAGTCAGCTTCCGATGGCGTCACTGGGGCCAAATGAAGAATGACTACGTCGGCTTCAACAACAAGGGCGAGAAGGTCACAGCCAAAGCACACGGAGGTTCAATCGATATCCAAGGTGTCACGGTCGCGACGGTCAACGACAAGGTACAGCTACAGTCCGTTCGCACCTGGTTCGACCCGATGGACATGTTCAGGCAGATCGCGCCTGACGGCGTCGTGAAGAAGGAGGAAAAGCCTAAGAACATGTCACCCGCAGACGCACTCGACGAAGCTCAGGCTGGCATCAAGGCGCCCGAGGAGCAGGAGCTACCCGATGAGTTCATCCAGAGCAAAGAGGAAGTCAAAGAGACCATCGAACGTCTTGATAAGATGACGGTCGAAGAGAAGATGTCGACCACCCAGGGCTTGCCTGCTGATCACCCTGCTGTGTCTTCGTCTTCTAATGACGAGGCCGAGGGCGGCAGGTGTCCTTTCATGCCCGGAGGCTTCAACTGAGGTGCATGTGTATGTGTGAAAGTAGAGAGATGGAACATTTGGATATCTTTGGATCACAGGGAGTTATGAGCGGGTACTTAATGAGCGTGGAAGCAGATCAAGCAATTCGAGTTTAGATCTTATTAGCATATACCATGTTGTTACAATCGAACATTTTTGCCAAGTCCCGCTTCCCAGTCATCTCTGAGTGCCACTTTCGAGCAAAGTAACATTCCTTATTGCCATGCACCCAAAACCACGAGAAGTATTTCCGTATGATACTACCGATTCAAGCAGACGCACTAACACCGCCCATCTATGCGGCTGGACTGATCGTACCTCCCCGGCATGCAAACAACTCAAATCATACGTCGGCGAAGACGATGCTGCATATCGGGATGATCTTCCGAGCAAGTTAAAGCCGTTTGGTACGATGCTGGCTAGTTAAGTCTGACGCCATAGCGGCTGCTAGTGAACCAAACGTTCCTATGCGCATTGCCTCACCTCCAACGACACTAACACCAACACTGCCCTGACAAGCCGACGATCTCCAGCCCTTGCTTTCGGGACGCGAATTCTCCGCATAGCGCTCGTTGTATACGTCGGGGTACCTGATTATCCATCACCCGCCGTCCGCGCCTCCATCGTAGCTTCCCCGCTGCTTCTTGCCCAGTATCGAGTGAGGCCCGCGCGAACGCAGATTCGACACGCGATGTGGGAGTTGACCGAACTTGCCTAGCGTGAGTAGATGCCCGCGATCCGCCCGTCGCAATCGTAACATTTGGCTCGCGCTTTGCTTGACGGATATATCCAGCCTTCAACGACCGTGGGCAGTCGCGGAGAGCTGTAGGCTCCAGGCTGCGGCAGAGAAGTCGAAAAGTGATGTGAGGTTTCGTCGGTTCTCCAGCTATCGTCTGAGCCTGGTGGGACTGTCTCTCCTTTCAAGATTTTCTGGACCCGGAGACCGAGGGCCCTTCTAGCTTCCGCCAAAACATAAAGACCGGCAGGTTTGGGGATCCAGGGCGGGAGAGCAGCTGCAAACCATACAGCGTGGTTACCGGCATACATGAGATTGCACTTGTGATATGTTACCAGATATCGCACCAAGGCATGGCACGCTGGGCAACAACGCTTGGATACTGGCAACACATCCATTGCTTTCCGCATGGTATCAGTTATACTCTTGGGAGGTAAGCGTAGGTAATGGTGGAGGTTCTCGGGTAAATCAGCATCGGCATCCTTGTCCACGAAGTAGTCGCGTTTGCGACCGAGCAAGTAGAGGCAAATCAGCGTTGTCTCGCAATGGTATGTACCTGAGAAATTCTTCATCTCGAGCGTCGGATTCTCGAATTTGGAAGTGACACCAGAACCAAAGCCATGTCCGTCGGTTAGCAACCACTGTCGGATGGTCTGGACTTCAGCATTTGTAAGAAGTTCGCCCGGACATTTCTCGAACTCTTTCAGATATTTGGTGAAGAACAGCCGTTTGTCCATTTGGCTCGTAGATGCCTCGAGATATCGGAAGTTAGCAGCGAATAGGTATAACTCATAGCCCTTATTGCGTTGCGTTGGCTCTTCGGCACAGCTTAGGCTCATAAAGGCTGTCTGATAGAGACAGATAAGATCGATCCAGGCCATGGCTGCGTCCTCCCATTGCTTCTTCGCGGAAATTGAATCGAGATCTGCAACCTCAGGGTCTACCATCTGGTGCTTTTGCTTGTCCAAGACTTTGAGCCTGCGAACGTTTTTGAGAGCGTAGACAACACGAATGAGTCGGAGATTGGCTTTCAAATACTCCCGCAAAACTTGTTTGCATACTGTCAGTACGTGTAACCATAAGCCTGCTTCGGTGGCCAGTTTGTCGAGGGAGTGACCAGAGTCCTGTATGTATTGGCTTACGACTGGGTCATTTGCCAATGCCAAATCGTAGTTGCCAGCTTTGTACAGTTGCGCTTGACGCTTGGCAAACGTTAGGGCCTTGAAGCTTCCCTTCACGTTGATCAAGACCGCGCTGAGCATCGACTGTAGGAACTCTGCCGTTTGCTCGTTGTATGACATCGCCTCGTTGATTGCGAGTTCATCTGCGATCTTGCTCATGGGTTCGTACAGCGTCTTGGTCTTCACAACTACCTTCGCGTCGTAATTGGTAAGGACACCCAAGTTGGCTTCAGATTTAACTTTTAGAAGCTGCATAGTTTCTTTGATGACACTCTGTTCGCGTTGAGTGAGCGTCTTTCCGAGGGTATCTTCGCTGGCGACGATTCTTAGGATGATCGAAAAGTCCAGCTCGGTCTTCCGAAGTCCATGCATCAGGTCGCTTCCTGGCTTGGTGAGGAACTCGTACAAGTTTCGAGCCTTCGGCATTCCCTTCCTGATCCGCACCATGATCTTTGCACTGGAAGACAAGAGGATGTAGTTGTTGAGTAGGGTGCGAGCAGCCTTCTTGTCGCCGGCGGTGTACGTGGCTTGGGCGAGTTTCACGATGTTTGTAAAATGCGTACCAAAAGTGACATTGGTCTTCGGAAATTTCTGGGCGACAGGATGAGCTAAGGTCACACGGAGGAGCCATCTCCCTGCAGAGGTCGATGGGGCGTCCGCAGAAGTCGTCGCAGTCGAAGTGGAATTGATTTTAACGGGTGGATGCTCTCCCTTGTCTCCCGACTCTGCACCTCGGTTAAAGTCTTGCAGATTCTGGGTAACATTCACCTCCTCATCTTCTTGGGGATCTAGTTCTGCATCTCCACTGTTGTCATATACTGCGAGGAGGTTCTTTTCGTCCGAAGCTGTTACCGCAACAATCTCCAAGTGACGGACGAGCAAATCTGCTAGATCGGCGGTGAACCTGTACAGTGGTGCGTGTCGCGAGGCTGGATTATTGACTCTGGTGTGGCCAGCAGACTTGTCAATGTTGTTTGTCCAGGATAAGACTGAAGTGAGAAATCGGAATTCATAAAGTTCATGCTCCGACAAGAATTTGTCTTCACGTCCGATGTCTGTTCGATGTGATGCCATCCTGACTCAGATGGGATGAAGAAAGTGTGTGGTGCGAGGACTTGAAAGTGGAAGAACGTACCCTTTTATGCATCCCAAGCATTGATTGCAAATATGGATCCTCTTGACTGGAAGGCGTGTTGGATGTGGTAAATTCTATCATGATCCGCGGTTCGATTTCATCGACCATATAGATGCAGAGGAAAAGCTGACTGGGTATGAAAGTCTGGTACCACCCAAACTCGCGAGCCTTCCCAGGATCGAAACCTTGACATCAGAGCATCTGTTCATCCCTCGTCGAAGCCAAACAACCCGGCAAACTCTTACCCCTCATACTGTGCAGCTCGCGATCAACACAGTCAACCCGCTCAAACTCGTAGCGAAGATGCATGAGCACGAATCCTTTGAACCCGCGGCTGCCCAGGAGAAGACTGCACATACATTCCCCGGAGCGGTTCATATCCAAGATGCCGTCCCTTCCACAGAATTCGCGCTCAATACCTATATCCAGCCGCCCTCTCCTCGCACACTAGTCGTATGGGCCGATGGCAATGGAGGTAAACGCCTCGACGACGGCCCATGCACAGCAGCCATAGGATACCGCGACCCTTTATCTGGAGAATGGGAAGTGCACATCACCGTCAGCCATCATCCTTCTTGGACTGAAGCTAGCCTCATCGCTATCCAGGAAGCTTTCCGTGCTGCTGCAACGCTGGCTGACCACATCGATCACTTGATCGTGTTCTCGAATGCACAAGCAGTACTTGCGAATCTTGAAAAGAGCCGCGATCTTTCGTGGGGACGGCATGAAGCTCTCATCGAGAGGGTACAGCAGGTTGCAAGGAAGCTCAAGGAACGAGGTATGCAGATAGACCTGCATTTTGTACCGAACCGCACGAAAATTGAAGGTCATAGGCGGGTGCAGAGACTCTCCCGAAAGTACAAGAAGAAGGTCATGGCGGTGGCGCCGAAAGAGCTTCTGGAGTACGACATCAACTTTTCCCCTATCAGACTGAAGCATCAGCAGCCCAAGGATGCGAAGGAAGAGCTAGAAGTGTTGCTGCGCAGCTGCTTAGAGGATGCGAAGGCGGCAGGCAAAGTTGGACCTCGCAGCTCGTTGAAGCACGAGTGGAGATTTGAGGCACGTCGTCTACGAAGAGAAGCAAAGATAAAGTACATGAGGATGAGAGAGCAAGAAGGAAAGCCGTTGAAGCCCACAGACTCGGAGAGAGCGATATTGCGGGCGCAAAAGAGACGCCCCAGGAAGGCGTCTGGAGAGCTGAAGGAGGGTGAAGAGGTTACCATTGACGTAGGGGAGAAGATCATGGAATGGAAGGATATATACCAAGACCTCGCAGGTAGCTCGTGGGAAGATAGACGCGGACTGAAGAGGTGAAGCCATAGCATTGTTTCGGGAGTGAGCGACTGGACGTTTTCTAACTTCGATCTTTTTCGCAAGTACGTTTGGCTGCGTGAACCATGGGGGCTACATGCACGGCGAAATCGACAGTGGGTACAACTTGAACCGATGTCTTCTCCAGCCGGCTAGCAAGATTCGATAGTTCGTATGCGTACAGTGGGTAACACTAATCATCGAGCTCAACATGTATCTGGGTATACTCCGGTTGTACTATACACCCGTGCTTTCCAGTATGTCATTATTCACCGAAATTGGATATTGTAGACCCTGAGCATACCCTTCCTGAACCACCGCTATCTTATCGGGAGATATGTGTCTTCATGTTTGGAGGTTCGGAAGTCGATATCGGAGTGGCATAACGGTCCCGCCACAGCCTTCCTGCCGCCCGTGGTTGCCTGCCCAACCCTCTTGGGCTGGCCTCTGTTTAGGATGGCTTGCGCAGGCAACAGTGAGTCATACCTCCTTTCATCACCATCAATAAGACGTGTGATCATGGTTTCATGCTAGTCTGTGGCTACGCGCCAGGCTACTCGACGCGACTGGTGAAGACACGGTGTCAGGTGCCTCGCAACTCGTACAAGAAACTTGGAAGTTGGTCACACAGGATGGCGCAAATCTGCGCCGTTGGGTGAGGCTATGGACTAGTCTGTGGCACGCTAGGACGGGTGTCTCTTCTGCCTGCGCGGAGATGGTGAGAGGGCTCTCGTTGGTGTGTCGAGGTGACTCAGCCCTGGACCAAGGCGGATCATCTCGGCAGCCGAGGTGCGCTAATGGGGGGCGGGCAACACCGATGAGTCGTCAGCTCGTCGGGCGCTTGGCGCTTCTGGAAGGGGCGACGATGAACATGCAGCTGCAAACTCTGCTGTGAGCGTGGGAGGCGCGAACCATGGTCATCGCGCGCTCTCGAGACACGGTCGAATGGTCGCGGATGTAGAGAGCCGAGGCCAGAGACGGATGCACGCGTTTGGCATCGCTTTGGGACAGAGGCCCGGCGTCATCAGCCACTGCGGTGAGGGGAGTGGAGCTGGGCCGTCGCAGCGCAAGGCGGCGATGTGTTGGCAGCAGTTCATTGCTGCTTGGGCCGTTTGCGTCATCGCGATGGGTTTGTGTGCCATGGCGATTGCGCTGAGGCATTTCCTGCCGTGTTTGCAGCGCTGCATCACGGCACCGCGATGGCCGGCTAGGCTGCAAATGAGGGCGTCGCATGCTGAGCAGCTGAGATTACGAGCGTCGCAGCAGCCGTCGAGGGGGTCGGCCGCAAATATAGCCACGAAAAGCACGGTGAAGGCACAAAATAGCCCTTCCTGGCATGGCGTCGTCTCCACGTCCAATGGCGCAGCAGGCAATGGGAAGACGCGTCCTTGGCTCCCAGTCGGCCGGTCCCTTCATCTCAACATGGCTGAGAGGCAGAATGAGGGGGTGTAGCAGGCAGTCTGCGACTCTGGCGCTACCAGCGTACCATGGCACGGAGCGTTCGAGAGCAAACGCGCCTAGTGTGAAAGAAAAGGAGACGCCGTGTGTCGCAGCAGCTGGTCGCGTCGCAATCAGCGTGAACAGCCTCAGCGCGCGCAGGGAGTGGGCGGGTTACAGAGGGCCATTTACCGCTGCGCCAGGCATGGCGGCAGGCCGTGTTGGCATGCCTGTAGCCTTGGAGCCATGCGTGATGATGGAGCGTCTCACGCCTCACGAGATGAGGGCAGAGCACCCGCAACTGCTTCACGCAACAGCGGTGCGGTGGGGGCAAGAAAGCGACGTCGCTGCCCAAGCAACGCAGCTGCAAATCACGCACTGCCATGTCTGGCTGATGGCAAATAAAAAAAAGCCAGCGCGATGAGTCTTCCAAGGTTGGGTTGTGTGGCAAAGAGGCAAGCTGGCCAGTGCGCCCGGGTGCGATGACTGGACTGGGGGCGCTGTAGGTACGGGGTTCCTATTAGTATCGCCAGCGCCGCCCAGCCCGTCACCCTCATCAAGACAGCAGCAATGGACTTCACGAACATCTACAGCGCCCCCTGCGGCCTAATCTAGGACGCCAACCGCGAATAGTGTTGTCTGTTCTCTGTCGCCTACCCGTCTACCTACCCAAACCGACCCATTCCATCTTTGTCCAGGTAGCAGTCTCCGCATCGACCTTTGTCGCCGCCACACTGCCGCCTACCGCATAGACTCATCTCGCGCTTCCAGTCAGAGTCGAGACGAGAGAGCCTGTCCTTTTATACCTCGTCTTCCCGTACCTGCGTCGCGATCCGACGCCCTCTAGTCGCGCCTTCCCACCTTTACCGACTCCCCGACCGCCACTTCCTCACACGTCAGACCTACACCTCCCATCTCCACCACCAACAGCTCTTATGTACACCAACCCCCAATAATAATAAAACAAACACCTGCAACAAACAAACACTCAAACACCCGACCGCCCTCCCCGCGAATACGCGAAGTCGCTCAGCTTGGTGATCCCGTCAAGGTAGTCACCATCCTCGAACGCTTCCCACGTCGCACCTCATCACCACAATGTGCCATTCGGCCTACACTACTTCAGTCACTCGTCGCTCAGAATTCACCACCATTTCCGAAACCAAAGCCTTCACCCAAGGCTTCGCTTGCTAGACCCCCGCATCCCCTCAGACATCCAGCTCTTGCGACAGCGCCCGCTGTTCAGTAGCTGTATCATCAGAGTGCTTCGCGGACGGTCTTCTACCACGGTCTTGTTTCGGTGATTCTGCAGTTGACAGTGACTGGAGCCCGCTCTAGTCTGCACCTGGCAGCTTTTCGACCACTTGACACTGCTCGAATCCTACTTCCACTTGCGACTCGTCAAACCCTACCAACCTCCTACGTATACGTTCCGCCTTCGAAACCTACCCTCTCCCAGCTCTTCAGACCGTTAGACCGCTTCCGTCACCCCTCGATCACACACGATCAGGCCACTTGACGGACGAGATTTCGCGATCGAGGAAAAGATCCCAACAAGAGAACAGCGTCTCGAATTATACGTCAGAGGTCACAGGGTTGTCCTCTACGGTTTGTCCCATCGGTTAAGTTCTCGGTCACCCCACGACCACCCGATCACGCTCTGCGCCACCCCTCCAGGTCTACCTAACGGTCAGCACTTCGAGACGTAACGACAAAGCCTAGTCACATCTCCGCTCACTCTTTATTGTCTACCTTTCCTTACCAGGCCCCGTCCTGTACACCCCTCCTTCACCATGAGTCTTGCCATTCCTCTCCCTAGCCACGGCTACATGGCTGAGACCCACCCTTATGCCGCTCCCCTTTCTTCTTCCGCTTCCTCTTCCACCTCCTCAGTATTCTCAGACGCTGCGTCACAAGCGTCAAGTGCAAGCTCCACATCATCTCACTCAAACTGGGACTCAGAAGAGTGGAGTCGCAACCAAGTGGCACCGCCGACTATTGTCGACCCTGCAAGTTTGTCAGCTTTCCAGCCCATCAGCCGAGTGAGCACATATCCTCAGTACCAGTCTACGGTGTGCCGAGAGCCTGCACAGGAGAGGTTACCTTCCCTGCGCACTGAGCTATTGGCACCTCTGGAGCAGCGACAGAATCCTCGCCGATCGTCGACCACTGTCAACCAGAAGCCCCCACCTCAATTGGTACGGCAATCCGACCGAAAGGTCAACTTCGTCGATTGCCTCGTCGGTTAGTACACGCTTTATCCCTGGACCATGGTTCCACCGCTGATTATTCCTCCTTAAGATTCCGCTACTCAGATGGTTGAGGTCATCTGGCAACTTTCAGAGCCCAAGAGCCGTTGTGAGAATGCTTCTGGACGCGGAGTGCTTCCTCTCCGCATGTTCATCCAGGAGACACTCCGTCGCTCTCGCACCAGCTACTCTACTCTCCAAGTTGCCTTGTACTACTTGATCCTGATCAAGCCTCACTTGCCCAAGCACGACTTCACCATGTCCCAGCCTGAAGACGCCTCTCTTCGTGCGCTGCAATGTGGTCGTCGCATGTTCCTTGCTGCGCTTATCCTCGCATCCAAGTACTTACAGGACCGCAACTACTCGGCTCGCGCATGGAGCAAGATCTCTGGTCTCAAGGTTTGCGAAATCAACACCAACGAGATGGCTTTCCTCGAAGCTGTCAACTGGAAACTGCACATCGTTGATTCGGTATGGGAGAAGTGGCAAGAAGTCGTCCTGCGACACACGCCTACCCTTCCACCGCCATCACCTGGTGCTAGCATCCCCAACACTTGGAAAGATGTCATTCCTATTTTGACACCTGAGTTGGATATCGTCCAGTTGGCTCCCAAGAAGTCAGCAAACACTCCCGTCCGTCCTCCTCTGAGGCCTCAGTTGAACGCGTCGCCCTACCGCTGCCCATCGATGGATGGCTACGGATCGCAAGAGAGCACACCAACTCCATCTCGCTATCAAGTGCCTCGCTTCCTGGAGCCGAAGCCTGATCTTCCTCACACTCCGTCACTGCCATCCCTGGCTCGCTTGGGTCCACTACCAACCCCATCCTTGACGCCGCAATCCATCACCAGCAACACTCCTGCAGCGAGTGCCATGGCTTTCGGATCGCGCCGCCCATCGATGTGCACGGCAATGCAACAGGCACAGTGCTCCTCACTGGCACGCACTTGTGTAGACCAATTCAACCCAAGCATCAGGAACGGATTGGAAGCTTACCACTTCCCAAGCCGACGACCTTCCCTGGCTCCTTCCAACTCATCCCTATCGTCCTCTCCAGAGTCAATGATCTCGGACAACTCGCGCACTTCTCGTGCTTCATCAATCTCGTCGGTCTCGTCTGCCGGCTGGGCGCCAAACCAAAGCCAGGCCAGCTTGGCTCGGTTGGCGACCTGCCGCAGCGCGAAGCTCCCGTACCCGGTTTTGTCGAAGTGCAAGGAGCAGTACGAGTATGCTCCAAGTGAGCCCATGTCCTCACCCGATCTGGACAGCTTCCATATTGATGATTCGGATTCGTCGCCAGGCAAGGTCGACAGCCCT